CTTTTTTCTTGAAAATGGGTATCAATACCATATTTTCTTGCAGTTTCACTGGCTTTGCACTTGAATAATTCGAAATCATTTCTATAAATGCAACTTTGCTGTGGTCTCTGCTAAAACTTTACTCGCCTCGGCCAAATTGATGTCGCATTTTTTAAAGTTTTGGATGCATAATTGATGTCGTTCAATACACTGTGCATGAATTCGCACATATCATTATCCGTCAAATTGACAACACTCCCAACCTACAAAAAGAATTTAGGGGAATTCCCTAGGCATAACTTTTGAATTTCTCTCAACTGAGTTGTTATGCTTAAAGTGGGGTTGCAACTTGTCATAATTATTTTGAAAATGGGTGAAATTTCCAAAAGTTCAGTTCGATTGAGCTTTCTGGTAAGGATTCGAGGGCCCCCTGAGCTTGAGGGCCCCGGGGCACTGCCCCGCCTAGCCCTTAGGTAGCTACGCCACTGCTTATACGGTTTTACAGAGGTTAGTTCTCCATTTCCGATATCTGTCGTACCAAAGTTTATGACACAAATGGCTCTCGTCTCGGCACACTCAGTGATGAGGTGTTCTGGTGTTTTCCTATTTTCTCTACAGAACCTGCATTCGGCGTTATTTCTAAGCTTCACTTTACTGAGGTGTACAGTGTCCTGTTAAAAAACCGTGACAATCCGAAGATTGTTCTTACTTATCAAGGAAAATCTTCGATTTTTCTCCGCGCGTTGTAAGTTCTGAGAAATTTCTCCGACTGTCTTAGACCGTTGGAGGATTTCCATTCCAAGTTACGGATAGTGTCTTCCCAGGTTTTTGAGTTTTTAAGTTGCTTTCCGCTTGGAAAGCAGGACGGTTCTGGTCTAGTTTTCTAGCTAGATCGTTTGCTTTTTCATTGCCTTGGCGGGCTGCTACCCAGAGTAGAAGGACTAATGCAACGAATCAAATAGTTAGTATAAAAAAGGGGAGTTTTGGCGAGACCAAATAGATTATAATAGATAATTGATTTATCTTCATTAGGGTAATATGGGGGTAATTAGCGAATGATTATGCTCCAATCTTGTTCAGTATTATAGACGTCTTTAATATATTTATCCTTTACAAATAAATATTTTTAATATGTTATTTATTTACGAATTGTAAGGTCTGGAAATATAATAATAATAATAATCGTCTTTATTAACGCAAACGATATGTATACAGGGTGAGTCTTAAATAAGTGCAATAAGTGCAGAACTGCAATAAGTGGATCAGGCCGATAGCCACCTGTAGGAATCTAATCTAAATAAGTGCAAATATTTTCAGGGGTGGTATATTTTGACCCTAGGAACACGTCTAGGTGAGTTTTTTTTCACAAAAAAAAGATGTTGAAAATCATGCATTTTCTTTTAAGTGTTCTTGTATATTTTGGACAACTTTTTAGAACTGCCTGTTTACCGCAAATTTTCCCTCGGTATAATTTCGTAATCTCTGATATTACCATGATTACAGCGCTAAAATGGATGCAAATACAGAAAAAAAACTGTGGCACTGATTTTTTTTTAATTAAATCATTTTTTTTTTTAATTTTGAGAGTTTTGATTTTTTTTAATTTTTCTCTTGGCTCGGAAATGACGATCGATGACATTTCCCATATAAATTTACATATAAAATGACAGCGATCTTCATTTCATAGCCATCGCTGACGCTGTTTTTATTCGATCATACGGTATTATATTGGTAAAATTCTCAATAGGTATTATAGACTACTGGAACTATACCCACTCTGCCGATATATTTCAGTTTTATCTTATTTTTTATTTTCAATAATATAAATTGTATTGGGAATAACCCTCGGTATTACTTTGCTGTAAATACCAAAAGCGGCCTTTATAAAATTGAACGATGCAATATTTAGTTATTTGTTTATTAAAGAGCCTAGAACAAATTACTGGTGTTGGTAAACGTGAACATTGACAGATCGATTACCCAACCTAGTAAGGTAAATTATTCAAACCCAACGAATATAGAGTTTTAGGGTCTGTATTCTAATATCAATGCACGAACGACAGTCATAAAATGCCATGACAGAGCCCTCCATTTCATTTCATTTATAGATATCGATAAAGTTAATTTCAAAATTTAATAATATGCAATATTCCTAAGAAGTTTAAACATGTTTGAAAAGATCTACTTTGAAACAACCGGGTTGTTTTCTAGAATAGGTACATAATAAACCAACAAAACAAAAATATTCAACTCAATCCTGCAAACTAGGTTAATACCATACTGGACAGCAATGTACAGGGTGGGTCAAATTCGACACTTTTAAATGGAAACATCCTTGTCTATAGGAGATAGACGAGAACTAATATCGGTGTCTGGAGCTCAATTTCCATCAAAAACATGATGGTGAAAACCGCATATCGATATCTGTTACAGTTTCGGTGTTTTTCAAAATGTGCATTTTTAAAAAATCGCTGTAACTTTTGCTATAAAAATTTTCTATTTTATGGAAAACATTTCCAAAGCAGCTTTTTACGTATAATTTAATGGTTTAAGTGTAATTTTTTTAAATTAATAATTTAAGAATTATCAACAGAAAATCTGATTTTTTATATGGGACACCCTATATATTTTTTAATTTATTGAAAAGAATTTAAAATTACCTTTCCAAAATCATAGCACACTTGATATTTTGCTCGATTTCTCTTCGAGATATAGAGTTTCAATAACAGTAATAAAATAAATAGCAAACCAAGACATGAATTTTTGCTACAGGTGTTCGACATATTTTCGTTTTTGAACATTTCTCGCGGAATTCATTAACATAGTAGGGGTGAAAGATATCCTCTCATTTATAAGTATTTCTAATTCTTGTCTAGTCGCTAAGTACTTCTAATTCTTGCCTAGATTATACGGACAATTTAAAAATAAGAATAAACCGCAACGATATCCATAGGCACAAAGACCGGCGGCCTCGACGGTCAACGGCTGCGATCTTGGTTAACTGTTCAATTATTCTTGAAATTGGCTGCAAAATTTGTTGATATCCAGCGTTCTGAGGCGGTGCCTCGTCTTGCTGGAAAAATATATTTTCGAATTCCATTAGGGACAGTACATATAGTTCAAAGTGGCGAACTTTTAAAAATTCTGTATTTCGAAGGGGATTATGACAAAATATTAAATGTGCTATATTTTTGGAAAGGTAATTTTAAGTTCTTTTCAGTTAATTAAAAATATACAGGGTGTCCCGAATAAAAAATGAATTTTTCTGTTGATAACTCTTAAATTATTAATTTTAATAAAATTATACTTAAACCATTAAATTCTACGTAAACAGGTGCTTGGAAATGTTTTCATAGAAATACAAAATTTTGCATAGCAAAAAGTTACAGCGATTTGTTAAAATGCACATTTTTGAAAAACACCCTGTAACTCCGAAACGGTAACAGATATCAATGTATGGTTTTCACCATCATGTTTTTGATGAAAATTGAGCTCCAGACACCGATATTAGTTTTCGTCTATCTCCCTATAGAAAAGGGTGTTTCCATTTAAAAGCGTAAAAGAAATTGACCCACCCTGTATATTATAAACAAAAAGAAATAAAGAAAATATTAGCGCAACAGGGTTGAAATATTGGAGAATGAAAAATAATATAACGTTTATGAAAATAAAGCCTTAAGATGGTACAGGCACGTTAGAACTAACCAAAATCGCTTCAGGATATTTCTTAACTATTTATTAACATAGTGGATGAAAACGAAATTGACCAATGAAGAAACGAGGTGGACGAAGAAATGGTGACCACAGTGATGCATATCGGAGATTGAAAACAAAGAAGAAAGAGCTAAAAACAGGAAGCCCAGGACATTTTAATAATAAAAGGATTTATAAATACTAAAAGTAAAACAACGATTAAAAACTAAAATATCGAAAGTAAAATGTTTGGTATATTGTAGTGTATTCGATCTATAGTC